ATTGTGGAAACGGCACCAGCCTGGCCCTGGCACTTCCATCTGGGGTTGTTCACGTCACTCAAGTCCTCGACACCTGGGTGGAATTCTGAGGGACAACCTGGTTCCCAAGAAGCTTATCTCCGCCCAATTCCCTTTTGAATATGAGGGTGACTGGAAGCTGTTTGGCGATACCCAGAAGCTTGGACAACAGACCTGTCTGTGGTTTACAGCAGGCCACAGGATAAAATAAAATTAAATTAAAGTGCAGACCCCGGAAATGGCGGTCACGCCTCCAGGGACCCCTGCCAAGACCCACTGCCCTCGCTCCGCCCTGGCGTGCCACGTGGCCGCCCTGGCCCTGCGTGGCATCTGTCGCCGGAGCCTTTCCCGCTCCTCTTGTGCAACGTTAGGGAGTGTGCCTGGGCACCACATCCTTCACCCGGCAGGTCAGTCGGGCCCGTGTCTCCCTCGGTGACCGCTCCGAACAACAGCAGCTGCCACACATGTTCTTCCTGAGCTTCACGACAACGGCTGAGCCGTTGACCCACCCAGACACTTGTGACGGAGCGGCTTGTAGAAAGTTGTTTTCTCGTCTCTCTCCGAAAGCCACACTGCCCAGAGCTATGTAACAGCCGCCGTCAGAGGCCAGGAACTGAGTCATGAGTGGCTCACCCGAGCGGCTCGCACTGCCGGGAGGGTTTCTAAGTCGGGGAGGAGGGCAGGAATGCTGAAAGCGTCACCCCCCCCCCGCCCCCCAAGCCTCCACTTGCAGTGAAGCCTGTGCGGGGGGGGGGTCCTGTCTTCACTTCAGCAGTCAGAGCCCTGGACGCAGTGTCAACCAGGAGAAAAGACAGGAAGTTCACAGAGAATATCAGCGTGGCTGGGGACTGCGGCTGGTTTTTATTTTCTGCTGCTTTATTCTTCTTGGTAGGAAGGATGTCAAGAGAAAAAACCAGGGGGAAGGGTGGTAGGATGGGGCCTCGTGACTTGGGGGCCCCATTTCTCAAAGGGGCCCACTCACTTGGACTGAGACACGGGGTTTGGGGCAGCCAGTTACGGGACTGGTCTGAGGGGAGCCCCGAGGCCTCCCTTCCATCACCCTCAAGCTGGCCCATCAGGACTGCAAACTGGTCCTCAGTCTCCCAGGGAAGAATGTTGTTTTAACAGGCAGCAGGAGCTCACAGCTTATTCTGGACTCAGCGCTCCTATGCAGGGTCACTTCCCTGTTCCAAGTCAGGGAAGGAGTCGGGGTTCTACAAGAAGCCCTGTCTCCGGTGCGGGAAACTCAGGCCTGCGGGGCTGGCGGACCTGCCTTTCTGGCCCCACCCAGCCTTCAGAGCACTGACACCCCTGAGGATTGGCCACTCATATCCAGTCTAGACCTCCAGTCTAGAAGGTTCTCCAGGCCTGAGGATCACAGCTGAACAACAACTTAACAATGCCACATGCTGCTGAGGCCACCAAGACACAGAAATGTCTAGGGCGAGGTGCACGGAAGCATGACGGCCACAGAGTCTGCCACCCAGGTGCGGCCTAGAACACTCCAGAACACCGCCTGCCTCCCTTCCCCCACCCCACCTCCCCCTCCTCTGCGATCTCCTCACCCCACATCTCTTTCCATCTCTGCTGTCAACCCTCATCCACCCCACAGCCCAGTGGGGCAGTTCTGCTGCCCCCGACCCTCATCCACTCCACTCTGCCCTCGTCTCCCTTCACTTCTTCTTCCTCTCTGACTTTTCTTTTGCCCCTTCTCTCCTTTTTATTTTTCCTTGTTCTCTCCCTCTCTCTCCATCACAGGTTCCTCCGTTGCCCTTCCCCCTCACCTGCACACGCAGCAGACCTGACGTACACGGGTTAGCAGACACGATGGTTTGACGCCTGCTCCTTGTCACAATCAAGACAGCCCTGGTGGTGGCAGCAGCCGTGCATGCCGACCGCCCACCTGCGCTGGGCCTTTACGCGGGCTCAGGGAGGTGAGTGGTGACTGCCACTTTCCAGTGGAGTCGCGGCCTCACCAAGGCCACACAGCTGGCAACAACTGGAACTGCACCAGCTGGGCGCAGAGGGGTCTGCCTCGGGTCCGGGTCCCTCACCAGCTTACAACAAGGTCCAATATCCCCGTGATCGAGTGTCACCTTCACCGTGGTTAGGACAGGGAGTCCCTCCCCTTGAGAGGCTACGTCGTCCTGCCTCCCTGCACTCCTGGGGCAGAGTGCGCCCTTCCCCAGGGGGCCCAACACCCAGCCAAGCACGGACACCCCCTCGGGGAGGGGTGTGGTGGGCTCCACCTTCTGCAGGCCTCAGTCCATCCATCCTTAAAACAGGGCTTGCCTGAAGTTAGTTTATAGCTTCCCCACCCACCTCTGATTTTTTTCGTAAATCTGTGGAATGAGAATAAAGACACCAAGTGTCAGGACCTTCCTCTTCCTGACCGAAATGGGGGAACCCCCCTCGTGCACAGGCCACCCTGTAAAGCACAAGGATACAGGATGCGGCGGCTCTTTGGTCCTCGCTGGGAAGCCCCCGTGAGAAGAGCGGAGGTAATTAACATAAGACAGCGACGAAAGCCTTGGGTGCTTCAATTGGCAGCGGTTCAGGCCGCTGGGTTCTTATCTGGGGAGCCGAGTTTTCTTTGGTGGCCCTCACAGACTCAGATGTGAGGAATGAGTTATTTAGAAACTGGCTCAGCTCAGAAAATGGTACGAGGTTTTGTCTCAACAAGAAAAGAGGAACTCGGGTTGAAACCCCCGGCGGCCCTGTCGAAGCGCCTCAGGCCTCCGTCTCACTGTGCACCTGCTTCGGTCTGCTTCGGGGAGGAGTCTACTCTTACTACTCTAGTGAGGTGCTGTATTCTTACAGGACGGTGTATCTCAGGGGGACCCTTCCTCGGGCAGCCGAAGGCCCCACAGCTCCCTGTCCCTGGTTACTCGGTGTCGGCCACCACGGCAGTCACAGACCCAGTGCTGGGGTGAGGGCAGACGTGTCCCACAGGGCCACAGCTCTTGCCTGCCTGTCACCCTGGCTGAGCGTGGGCCTCAGGGAGCAGCACTCTGTACCCGCACAGCTCGACCCCCAGGTCCAGGGGGTGGGCAGCACCTGCTTCGAGACAGCTGGTTTGTTCGAAGACCCGTGGCCTCCACACGGGCCACGCAGAAAAAGCCGGTGGGGGTTTGCCAACCAGCTTCCCTCTTGGGACTGGGAACCGAGAGGAGCTCACAGAGCAGGGCTGAGCAGTGGTGGCACCTGAGCCGTGCCCTCAGGGTCCCGGGCCTTCTCCCTGCTTGCCCTGTGCATCTCCTCCGCAAAGGCCGCCCACCCCTTCCAGGAGTTAGGGAGTCTCTGTTCTTTGCGATCCCCCGTAACTCAGGGATGCCCCTGATTCTGCAGCTGCTGCAGGACTGGCTGCCATCCCCAGGAACACACGATGTGTGGACGTAAGAGGAGACGGGCGGTAGACACGGTCTAACATTCGCCAGCCCCAGGTGCAAACTCTATACAGGAAGCCGCAAAGTCATGTCTTTTCCAGCTTAAGGCCAAGTCATACCTCAAGTCTGCTTCACTTTGAAGGAATAGAACAAACCACAAGGGGAAAAAGATCAAACACATCGGCCAACTTTCAACTTGAGAGAGTTTAGACTCCTTTCAGCAAAAAGCGCCTGTCGAGGATGCCACCCCAAGAAAGCCCACGCAGCCCTAGACGTGGGAGGGAGCACGGAGGCCCTCGGGGCCCACGGCCTGCCCCACGCAGTGCCCCACCCCCACCCCAGCGGCCACGTCTCTGGCATGGTGAGGAGCCCACTCAGAGACCCCTATTTGCGTGGTGAGCAGCCACGACAAAAGGACAGCCGTGCACCTGGTGTGCCAACGCTTGTTTCTGGTGACCAGACTGGCCGAGGACACTGAAATGGACACGCTTCAGACGCTGGAGCAGCTGCCTGGACGGGAGGCACAGAGAAGCCAGAAGCAGTGCTCAGCCCACCCTTGATCGGGCGGAGCGACCCCGCTGGGGCGGCACCTTGTGGAGATCCTGTTGTAGGTATTATGTTTTCAGGGGCCTGGAGCTTCTCCCTGGTCCTGCCCTCGAGTTCGGCTCTGCTTCCACCACTGCCTCTTCTGCACAAAACGCATCACCCTCTTCACACGCAGAACAGGGATAGTGCCCCTTCCACCCCCACTTTCTTTTCAACTAACCCCCACGGCCCCCCATTGCTGCTCCTCCATGACATGGTGTCCCCACCTTGGGCTCGCCTGGCTGCCCTGGTCGCCACGTGGGTGCCTGTCCTCACAGCCCAGCGATCTGCATGTGCCCCCTCTGCCCCCACTGAGAGTGTCCCCTCCTCCCTCTGCCCAACCCCCTGCTCTCTTAACGCAGCCGATAAAAATAGTTCCCCCGGCCGCCACGTCACTTAGCTGTCATGCACTGTGGTCACACAAAGCCCTAGTGTTTGTCACACTAGCTGGGCGTAGGGTGGTCTTCCCGACTTGGAGTGGCGCAGCTGGCTGTTCCCTAACGTTTAACAGCAGGTTCCCCACATGCGCCCTTCACGTGGTGTGACAAACAGGTCTGTACCAACGGAAAGGTCCTGTCTCGTGCTCACCAGGCAGCCGTCTCGCCCCTTGGAAAGTCCGGTCTATCCTCCCGCAAGTTCCCCTCCTTCTCTCCTTCCGGGTCCACTGACCCTCAGCCCTTGCAGCCATGGAAGGAAGTGACCGACATGCCACAGTGGCTCCCTTTTCTCTGCCTCCGGGTCCTTTACCACAGCCTCCCTTTCATACCCATGAACCCAAAAAACGTCCGTTCTACCTGCTCCACCAGGTCCCGGAGCAGGTGCCCTTGGCGGCACCAGCTTCCCTGCTGAGCCACCCCCACCAGGAGCTTCTAGGAGAGAGACAGGCTTAGCCGGAACTTCCTGTCCAGGCTACATGGGCAGCCCATGCCACTTGTCCTCTTCCTCTTTGTCACTGTCTCTGCCACCATGGGCTCCCGCCAGGTGAGGTCAGGAGAAGCACCAAAGGCTTACCTGGACAGTGAATTTGTCCTCTTCATTGGGCAGGATCCGGTAGGTGTAAACGCAGTTCCGATACCTGGAACAGAAGGAAGACGTTGTCAGAACCCACATGGGAACATTTTTCAGGTAACCCAAGTGACAATTCCTGACACGGCTCCAGGAGTTGGAGCATGAAGTCTCTGGACTTTGGAGCCAGCTGTGACGAGGGGAAGATCTGTCCTGACATCTGGGTGTCGCGGCCTGGGGCTCAGTGAGCCCCCGGGCCACCCCTCAGCACATAGGAGCTTCAGGGAAAGGCAGGAAGGTCTCCCAGGCAGGACTGACCTTGGCGTTTGAAGGCCCTGTGGTCTGAGCTAAAGCAGTCGGCCCACAGGGAGGGCTTCCTCCACCTCCGAGCTGGTGCGCTGGCCAGAGAACAGAGCCCGAGGGGGTGCTTCAAATAGAAATAAGGCTCCTTGCTCAATGCGGCTGACCAAGGCGGAGACAAGCCGCCGAATGGGTGTCATGCACAGTCCCAGAGAGGGGCCACCCCAGGCCAAGGAAAGGCTTGCTCAGCTCCGCTGGAGCACCTCCCTCTGGCTGAGTCTGCCTCATGCCCTGCGACCTCCTCCCCAGACACTTGGCCCCATGGTTCATTCTCCCCCAGGTCGGCCCCCAACCCGCCAGGGGCCTGGGTTTTCCCCAGCAGCTAGAGAGTAAGCCTCAGGCTGGCTTCTCCCAGGGACGAAGGCTCCTAGCTTCTGGGCCCTGGGTTCTCTTCTTTTTCTAGAGACTCCACCTTCCTGTGGAACTACTTTTTACTTTCCTGAAACCTTTGAGAGTCAGGGGTGAGGCAAGTGGGAGCCCCTGGGGCAGGAGCACAGTGGTGGATTGGTCCGGCTGGGCCCGGAGGCCGCAGGGGTTTCCGGGTTTGGGCTTCAGGCCCTGAGTTGAAACTGCTGGTCTGTTCTCCCTCCCCACAGTCTCCCCCTCTTTCCCCCACGTGAGATCCTCATGCACCTCGAAACTCCATCCCTGCTGAGGCCCTAGGCAGGCCCACACTCAGACTGGCAGACGCTGCTTTTATTTCTGTGATCAAGGCAACCGATACTTCATCACGACCACCTCACTAGTGTTAGGCTTTCTCACACGCCCAGCAAGTCACTGAGCACGTGTCCGTGTTATTGTCGAACTAGATTTCAAAGCTATGCACTAGTTTTAAAATTTTAAGAGTGTCCAGAAAGATAGACAATAGAGACGAACGTCTTCTTCCCCTTTTTCTGCGAGTCCTGCTTCATCGATTTACTGCTCCTTTTCGTACGTCACTGCAGACCCTTGAAACGTGCACTCAAATTCAACCCCGCACAAAACGCATCACCCTCTTCACACTCAGAACTGGGGATAGTGTTCCTTCCACTTAGAAGGAACACTTTAGAAAGCCATGCACACGACTTTCTAAATGCAAATAGCATCATGCTGTGCCCAGTGTGCAGCGGAAGGGTTCCCAAGTCACCGGCCACCGGGTGGCTGTGCCGTCTTTTACTTGTCTAGACCCTGAGGATGGACAGGCGGCAGCTATTTCTAGATTTTTGCTATTATAACTAGTGGAGCGGCGAGCACCTCTTCCCGGAACACATGTGCGTTGCTGGGTTCAGAGTCTCAGTTTCCTGTTGGTGAGCCAGGGGGGACGATACCACACTCCATCTACCCCAGTGCCGCCTTAAGTACACTAATGTATGAAAAGCATTTAGAATAGCCCCTCCCCCTCCTTCCTGAACACACTGAACACTGGACAGAGAGCAGCTGGGCTGAGGGACGGGACTGGATTCTGGTACAGACCAACGACTGCCTGCTCCTGGGGGGTGGAGTCAGCTGACCAGACTCAAAAGTGTCTTTCTCCACACCCCGCCTGCCCGCCTTTATCAGAGGTTTCAGTCAGAGAGACGAGTGACCAACAGCAGCTTATTGTATGACAAAGGTCGTATTTCTTTTTTCTGTGTATTTCTTTTCATGCCTTGGGTACTTTAAAAAAATCTTTTGCTTATTTATTTGTAAGACCAATACCTACTACAATATATTTTGGAGTCATTTATTTGTAATAGTGTTTATTGACTGCTTTGGGAAGCATTGTTGGCTTTTTCAGCGGTGTGGAAGTTTTACAGTTTTATGTGGGCAATTCTATGATCTTGAACGGCTTTTGAATGAATGGATGTTTAAAGACAGTTTTGGAGAATGTTGCAGGTCGGGTTTCTCTTTAATTCCCACCTTTCCGTTCCCTGTCTTGTCTTCAGAGACTGAATTGACATCACAGTTGGCTTTTCATCAGAGGTGGCAGGAGTGACTCTATTGCCACCTAACCCCATGGGGAAGTCCTAGGAGACAGAGAGCCACCCCAGGACTCCAGCCCAGCTCCCCAGCCCCCCACCTCCAGCCTCCACTCTCTTTTCCAGAGCCTGACTAACACAAGCCAAATCGCTGGAACCCTGCTGTGCTCTTATCTGTCACTGCTAGTCTTAGTGACGCTTCCTTTTACAGATATGCAAATGGAGGCCGGGCACAAACTGCCTCTTATTTGGCTGAGGGCGGCTGATTTGTGGAAGGGGGTTGAGCAGGGCCCTGCCGACGGAAAGAGCACCAAGTCCCAGGGAGAGGCGGGCATGCAGAACAGGAAGGCCATTTATGACTTTCTCGAGGATGTTCTAGAAACACTGAAACCGAGCAGCAGCCCCACGGGACTCTGTAGGTCAGAACTCAAGGCAGTTGCAATCATAGGAAGAGAGGACGCTTTGCCCTCAGCATCTGCAGTGCATGGGGCAGACACAGCACCCCTGGGGCTGAATCCATCAGACCTTCCAGGGAAACTGCCCTCCCCTGGCCTCCTCCCCCACTCGCCCTGGGGAGCAGTCATTCCAAATTGCATTCCATGGGGTGCTGGGGGCGGTGGAGGCGGGCACTCCCCACCTGCAGCTGTACTTCAGTCTGGTCCTAACTGCATACACATGTACGTACCTGTGCACACAGGTGCATACACATACATGCACCCACACAGACACACACCCAGTCCCACTAGGTGTAAAATGTTCAGAGTGAAGATTCCCCAACTGAGCTGTCTTCTGCCACTTCTGCACTAGAACGTAATCCAGACAACACGCTCACGGCTGTCTGGAGCCACGGCTCCCACCCAGCCCTCGCCCAGCTCTCTGTAGTGGTCTGGTAACAGTGAAGGGCACCAACACGGCCCTCTGCTGCTACTCCTTCCAGTGGCCGGGTCGCCCGTCAGGGCACCTGTGCTGGGAACATCCCATTGGACACCCAGGTTGGGAGGGCCTGGGGTCGGCAGCGTGTGCGCATCTGCTGTTGGACGAGGTTGCTCCATTCTCCAGCAGAATGGGGCGTAGAGCAAATTTCCCATGGGACACGGGACCACCACTGGTGGTGGCAGGGCCCTCCACTCTGTCAGCGGGGAGGAAAAGAGGCGGGACGATGCCTCCCCAGGCAGGGGCGTTTCCAGACCGACCCTGACGCGGTTCGGGGAGCTGGACTGCGAGGCGAGAGCGCAAGCAAAGAGAAGGAGGGAGCAACATGGTGGCGTTTTACTTATCCTCTCAGATAAACACGGTACATCCTGGAAGGCAACGTACAGCGTGGAGCCTGTGGCTAACAGCGCGGTACTGTGTGTTTGAAAGGTGCTAAGAGAACTGATCGTAAAAGTTCTCCCCACAAGAAGAAAAGTTTTGTGACCATGTGAGGGGGTGGGTGTTTACTGGACTCACTGTGGGGTCATTTCACAGCCTGGACAGGTATGGAATCATTATACTGGGCACCTGAAGCTGACATAGTGATCTACGTCACCTGCACCTCAACGAGCCATTATTCTGAATGACTATTTCTACATAATAAACACTGACGAGCGTGTCCAGGAACATCCTTTACCATGGCAGACGGGTGAGCGGGAGAGAGAGCGATCACATTCTAAACCTCGAGAACATCCTTCTTGTCTCTCTCTAGCTCTGCTTATCACTTTAATGCGCTCCGATAATTATTTATAACCCCCTTAGTAATTCGTTATATATAATTTCTAATCTCTCATGTTGTTTTACATGTTTACAATGTTGTTTTCTTGCTCAAGTGCTGCAAAGTTCTAGACAGATGGGGTCTGGAAAGTTTGCATTCAAACAAAACCTCGGACCATGTGGTAGCAAGAGAAAATGAGACGCCCCAGGCCAAGGGTGTTCACTACTCACCACTGAAACCCCCAAAGAATCCAAGCGGAAGACAGTAGGAAAGAGACGCATCAACAGAGAAAGCAGGAGGCAGTGGCCAGGTGGGAGGTGGAGGTGGGGCAGCCAGAGCGCTGGTGGGGGTCTGCAGAGCGCCCTGGCCCTGCAGCCTCGGGGGCCAGCAGGGGGAAGAAAGCCCACCTTTTCACGTGGCACATCACCTCCTCACCACTCACCCCGTCAGCTTGGTCTTGGATTGGGAAAGCACACCCCCATTCCTGATGGTCCTCTTTCTCTCTGGAAAGAGAATCTGGGCCAAGACTCACTTTGGTCTCTAAAACAATGTGATGTAGTCTTCCCTGACAGTTCTTTGCCAGAAAAGAAAAATTAACTGACCTATGGAAACATGCTGCCACCCAAAAGAAGGGGTGCCATTTGCCAAGGACTCAAAGGTGTTACCCCTATGTTACACAGAGTCACAGCAAAAAGAAAACAGGACACGCTGGGGGGCAGGGTCTGATCCGTGAACTCGGGAAGACTCACTGCGTCTCTAAAACTGGAAAAAGCCATTGTGAAGACTGAGCGACACAAGAGAAGGAGAACTGATTAGAAGGGTCGTGCCCGCAGGTCTGGAGTCTGCATTTTGTGATATCCACAAAATAGTCCGTGGACATCAGGGGATGTTCCGGAGAAAGGTAATGAGGAAGGAGACAAACTCGAGAAAGCACAGAAGGAAAGGATGAGCTTTGAATGAAAGGAAAGAAGAGAAATGCAGAACTATGAAAGGCGGTCCGCAAACTGATATATAACAGAGAGGTTCCTGAAAGCACAAACATTTTTTAATATAAAAATAAAAAAGAGCATATTGCTTGAAACA